ATTTGGACTTTAGACATGTTCACACTTTAAAAACACAACAAACAGACTCTGCTAACACACGTTTCCATCAGACGCCATCTTGTTCAAACAGTGTGACGTTCGCAACAGTAAAGAGTACAGCTTCCGGGGTAAATGAGTTAATGAGCTTCAAAATAAAAGTCCAGAAGTGTGACTCGGAATTCCGGGCTTACTCAAAAACACACACTCAGGAGGATAAATGATTAAAATACACTTATTCGAAAGAATGACTTTTATTGAAGTGTTCCAGTTGATTTTTAGTTTAGTTCATTTGATTTCACATGCAAAAAAAAAAAGAGAAAAAAAGTAGTAGGCAACATGAGCTACAGAAACATGATGAAGAGATGCAAAACATCCTTGGAGTGGCTTTATCGAGGCACTTTCCAGTGTATGCCCTAATCCATTAGTTAACCCAGTAAAATATTACAAGGATGGAAAAAGAGAAAAATGCACACAGACTGTTAAAGGAGCTAAGTCTATTACTAGTCACTGAGGTATTTGACCAGGGTTGACGTGCCTGTTACTGGACACGCTACGCTACCTCCGTTACTCAAATGTTTAATGAGAGTCCCTGAAGCTTCTTGCGTTGCATCACCGTAACATTTATTCCACGTGTGCATGGCAAAGTCCATCCGTTACATACACATGTGACGCTCAGTACAATACAAACAAAACTGTAGCGGTCCGCGCCATTACAGTCAAAAACCATTTGCCCTTCCGGGCCAAACACCTGATGACCATAGTGAGGTCACATCCTAAAATACCTGAACTCACCAGGTGACAGTACAGCGCCCCCCAATGCCCACACAGTCAATTACACAGTTAGAAGCAAACCTCCTAAAAACATATTTGGCTCCTGTACAGACCATGTACATAATAACACAAAATTAAGATCACTTAATATTAGTAGACAGTTTACACAGGGAATCCACAAGTGTAACATCAGAATGGTTACATCCAGCCTTTAAAGGGGAACTAATGTTTTTTTCAACCTGGGCCCTATTTTCCGATCTACTTTTGTCTAAATGAGTGATAGGATGTTCAGTATTTAACATTTCTCCAGTACAAAGCTAGGGCTGACCTGCCTGCAGCCCGTGAGCATGCGCTATCTTAAATAATAGGGCACTCAGACAGTGTCAAACAACGTCAAAATACGTCCACTTAAAGTGCATTTTTTTACACAGATAGGCTCAGATTGTTAGTATAATTATCCAACAACATAACGGAAAGGAGAAATGAATGCACAGTTTACCCTTAGCTGGATTCAGACATGTTCCTCTGCCTGTTGCAATTTTAGTATATGTGCTACCAAAGTAACACTGCTCTCTCTCTCTCCTCATCCGCTCTTCAGTTTCAATGAGCTCTGCATCCGTGTATGTCCGTGTACTCCGTGTTTAAATAAATACAGTCCATCCAGATCCAGTTGGTCAAAACCAGGTAAAAATCTAAACAAGGTAAACATGTTTGATGTGGCAAGTCAAAACACTCACTCAGAGTGGAAGTCTGGCTCTGAAATCTCACGTCTCGCGAGATTTGAGTTGTTGCAGGAAATTACCGCTGGAGTGACCTTACAAATGCGAGGACTCTGATTTGTTGACTCTGTTTGGAGTAGTCATGACTGAATTTTTACCCAATTTTGACCAACTGGATCTGGATTAGCCATTCGAATTTGATGACCGCCTGTATTTAGAGCGGACGAGGAGAGAGGGGGAGCAGTGTTACTTCGGGAGCACATATACTAAAATTGCAACAGGCAGAGGAACATGTCTGAATTCATTCACATTCATTTCTCCTTTCCGTTATGTTGTTGGATAATTTTGACGTTGTTTGACGCTGTCTGAGTGCCCTATTATTTAATATAGCTCGCACTCACAGGCTGCAGGCAGATCAGCCCTAGCTTCATACTGGAGAAATATCAAATATTGAACATCCTATCACTCATTTGGACAAAAGTAGATTGGAAAATAGGCCCCAGGTTGAAAAAAACATTAGTTCCCCTTTAATATCTTGATGGGCAGTTTACACAGATAGTCCATAAGTGTAGCATTCAGGAAATAAAATCAAACCTTTCACACATAATCCATCAGTATAACTTTTTTTCGTAGGGCAGAGCTGCCAACTCTTTTCCAATGAAAGTAGCTAGCACTAGCTCCAAAAAGTCGCTTAAAGTCTCCGGATGACATCATATGCTTACATGGATATTGATGCAACTTCGCAGACTGAATCACCGTGACCTTGATATAAACCTTCCAGGTAGAAACTGCAAACTGTTGTGAATTGCAGAGATATGTAAATTCAGCAAACCTATTTATTTCTGTTATTTTCAGCCATGACTGAAACATTTAAAGATATATAGTTTAACACCATGGTTCATCCTGTCTGACATTTCTGCTGTGCTTATTTTATGTCCTGAGTTGCTTTATTACTTCCCTTGCTTTCACTCGCCTCTGCAGCAGCTGCTCCTCTCATCCATCGATCAGATCAGCTCTGATTGGAGCTCTTGATCAGTTATCCACCCCATGACTCATACTACTGCTACTAAGTAGAAACACAACTAAAACAACCAACGAAGAGTTCCACATGCACTGTCTTTGTGAACCTGTAAAACCTCTGAATTTCAAGAGGGGACACAGAATGATTCAGACGGACCCAAAAGAGACTAAAAAAGGCATGGGAGCTAGGTAGAAAAAAGGGCTTTTTCTATCAAAGGAGTCTGGTGACGTGTGGCAGCAAAACCTATCTTATCCACATAAAAACAGGGTCACCTAAACTATATCCACATCAGTTTAAGTGGACACTATATTAAAAGTATTTTCAAGACCTAACCATGCTGTCAGACAGCCCTTTACAACTGAAAACTGATGCAGTTACATGATGCTCTCCTAAAAGCAACCAGACTCCACAGAACAAACTAAATGACCTTATGTTATTTATCTTATTTACACCGTGGCATGTAATTTCTTTTTTTGAACATTTTATTTTCAATTTTTAATTTCACAAGAACAGTACAACTTATTCCCACTAAAACTCAACAATAAAAGATACACAGTTAAACAACAAAAGAAAAACAAACAAAAATACTATGGGATGAAAGAATAATTACATATCGTAAGCCTCATAGCATAATTGCCTAAGTCATATTTTGGCCAAATTGAGATATCTGCCTAACTCTACTCTCATTAGGCTGCTGAGTCACTGTGCCTTACTGGCTATATCTACAGCTAATCAGAGTGCTTGTTACATTCCATAATCACTATCTGCCCAAGTCATCGATTTGACTTAGGCATTTTTGACACTAAATACAAGTTGGCAGCCCCCGAGAAAAAGAGGGCTAAGCTGACCACAAGTGAAGCATTGGCTCTTTTCTTTGATGCATCTGGTAAGCTAGTTCATATTTCTTCAACTTTCTAAACAGTAAATGCCTTTCCCCCCAATTCATAGCATCTGTGTTTGGTTCAAAGAATATTTATTTCTATTCTGTGTGTGTTCAAGAAGTTATATTTGAGCTATTTGTTTACTCAAGTTTAGCAGGTCTCCCTCAGCCATGTATTTTTTCTTTAAACCATTGGTATAAGAAATTATCTGCCCTCTTAAGAAGGCTTTCATTGTGTCCCACAATACAAAGCTACTAGGAGAAGAGGCACAGTTTGTTTCACAGCTTCTTTGAGCAAAGTTGGATCCAGCTACCACGTGTATGGTCCCTGGATTTTTTCAAGTATTAACAATGAGAGTGTCAGTGGGGAATGGTCTGACATGATCCTCAATAAATATTCAATTTCCATAACTCTATGGGTTAGTTGGTAAGATGTAAGAAAAAAAATTATGAAGACACAAATACAAGGAGTAGTCTCTAGTTGTGGGGTGAAAGTGTCTCCAGGTGTCACAGAGGTTTAGATCTTTCATAAAGGCCACTGTGGATCTGGCTGCTTTGGTTGTTGTCACTACAGAGTCTGAGGACCTGTCTAAAACTGTGTGGCATGTCATTTCTGCCTCTACATGGTCGCACATTTCTAATTCTTCTCTGCTCTCTGCATCGCTCATGGCAGACATGTGAGCACACTCCCACCAGTTGACTGACTGGCTGTTTCTCTAGTCATGAATTTTTACGTGTATCTGTAAATGTGCATTTTTTGTAAATGATTTCCTACAAATTGAACAGCTAAATGGCTTCTCTCCTGTATGACATCTCATGTGTATCTTCAGATCTCCACTTTTACCAAAGCCTTTGCCACACTCAGAGCAGTTAAATGGTTTCTCTCCTGTATGACATCTCATGTGTCTATTCAGATCTCCCTTTTGACCAAAGCCTTTGCCACACTCAGAGCAGTTAAATGGTTTCTCTCCTGTATGAGATCTCATGTGTGTCTTCAGAGTTAACTTTCGACTAAATCTTTTTCCACACTCAAAACAGCTAAATGGTTTCTCTCCTGAATGACATCTCATGTGTTTCGTCAGATCTCCTCTGTAACCAAATCTTTTCCCACACTCAGAGCAGCTAAATGGTTTTTCTCCTGTATGACATCTCATGTGTTCCTTCAGACTTCCATTTTGAGAAAAGCTTTTGCCACACTCAGAGCAGCTAAATGGTTTTTCTCCTGTATGACATCTCATGTGTTTCTTCAGACATCCATTTTGAGCAAAGCTTTTGCCACACTGAGAGCAGCTAAATGGTTTCTCTCCTGAATGAGATCTCATGTGTCTCTTCAGATCTCCACTTTTACCAAAACTTTTGCCACATTCAGAGCAGCCAAATGGTTTCTCTCCAGTATGAGATCTCATGTGTCTCTTCAGCTCTCCACTTTTACCAAATCTTTTCCCACACTCAGAGCAGCTAAATCGTTTCTCACCAACAACCAAATCACTGACAGAGACTTGATGGTTTTTCAGAGAGTTTAAACCTGACTGAGGTTCTCTGGTCTCTGTCCAATCATCACTGTCATCAGTCTCTGGTTCAGAAGATGCTCCAGTCTTGTCATCAGTCTCAGGTTGTAAATGTGTATCTGGATCTGAGTTCCTGGCTGGTTCTGCTCCTCCACAGTCCTCTCCCTCTGCTTCTGTTTCCATCTGTTCAGTGTGTCTTTGATGAAGCTGTGAGGACTGAGGTTTCTCTTCATCATCTTCACTCTTCACAGGGACAGGAGTGGAT